CAAAATAACCCCTGACTCCTTAGACAGACTGCAGGCCAACCAACCAATCCAGATACTAACTGGTCGCTAGACCAAACGACTCTTTGGTCGCCCCACCAAGCGACCACCATCTGGTCTTTTGTCCGACCTCGTATCGTCCGTCTCATTCTTCTTCGTCCGACCTCACTTGGTTCGACCTGCGTAATAACTGTCCTTCTTCGACCGACTTCCTCTTTCGACCGACCGTCGTATCAGCCGTCCTTCTTCACCCGATTTCCTCTTTTGACCGACCGCCGTATCAGCCGTCCTTCTTCGCCCGACTTCCTCTTTTGACCGACCGCCGTATCAGCCGTCCTTCTTCGCCCGACTTCCTCTTTTGACCGACCGCCGTATCAGCCGTCCTTCTTAGCCTGACTTCCTCTTTTGACCGACCGCCGTATCAGCCGTCCTTCTTCGCCTGACTTCCTCTTTCGACCGACCGCCGTATTAGCCGTCCTTTTTCGCCCGACTTCCTCTTTCGACCGACCTCCGTATCAGCCATCCTCCATCCGACCTCAGTTGGTCCAACCGCGGGCCAATCTACTACGGACCATCCGACCGGCCCAACCGACTGCGAACCATCCGACAGCGAACCAACCGACCGGCTCTATTTGCCTTATCTCCTTAGATGGACAACTGGTTCAACAGACTATCCTCTTGACAGACCTCCGCGTCTGTCCATACTTCTTCTTTGTCCGACCTTCGTCTTGACAGACCTCCACGTCTGTCGATACTTCTTCTTAACGCCCGACCTTCGTCTTGCCGATACTTCTGCTTTGCCCGACCTTATCACGCCCGAGCTCCGCACCCGACCTTATCATTTCTGAGCTCCGCGCCCGACCTTATCATACCTGGGCTTTACACACGACCTTATTACACCCGATCTCTGTGCCCGACCTTGTCCTGTCCGACCTCCGTATCGGCCGATCATCCTTATTTGTCCGACTTCTGAACCGTTTAATTTATATTCAGACTCATCCAGAATCCTACTGCCATTATTTATTATTATCTTTTGTGTTCAACACACTGCTAATCAATATAATAAAATTTCATAATACATTCAATTAAAATAACTATTGTTCAACCAAAATAGTGCGTTTGTTATTTAATTGTCAATTTACTATTTTTCTTGAAATAAATAAATAAATTTTGTTTTTTACATATGAAGTTTGAAGGATGGTATTTTAGTTTAGTTTCCACCTGCTTTATTGTTTGAATACTTGTAGTATAATTGTTATAAATATTTTCCCTCATTTGTGAAATCGGTTTTTTTTTTTTTTTTTACATCATGCAAGTGTGAAAAACCAAATAATACTATACTATATTAATTTTTGTATGAAGATAGAAAATATGGGGTCGACATGGCATGGGAATTATAAAAATAAATACTCTCTCCGGCCACTTAGAAAGCTTACATTTGTGTTTTGCGTCTTGATATTTGAATATTAATTATTATATCAAACGAAGTACAAATTAATAAAAAAAAAATGACAAAAATATTTTTATTAGTATCTTATAGTACTAATATAACAATATTTATACAAAAAAATATACAAATATAAGAATATTTTTAATGTTAAATACAATGATACAAAAGGTAAATATAAAGTTATTAAGTGAACGAATGAAGTATTTTATTAAAAATTCATAAAAATATAAAAATAGTTAGAAACATTTATGAAACATTAAAGAGTATGAAAGAGAGAATATATAAATGATATTAAATAACAGTGATATTAAATGTTGAATAGGTGATAATAGTTAAATATTTGATATTTTAATTTTATCGAAACTAATAATAGCAAAAAATTTAAAATAAGAATATATATAGCGGAGTGAGTACTATTTTGTTATGTATTATAATTTGAAGTATATTTGTTGTATTATAGGCCGAATATATTCTTATTGTGTAAGCATAGTTTGATATATATCATTTTGTTCAAACTATACGCCAAATATAATAAAATATACACACGTGTGCGAAATTGTAGACCAATCTCTCATTTCGCTTGCACAATATATATAACTATATTTACTTATAAATAATTAATAATTTAATATAAAATATTAATTTTTATATTATTTACGCAATTTACTCATAAAAATAAAAATAAAAAAGGAAAAATTCCACGCGGAATATGGATATATATATAGGGTAAATTGTTTTTTTTAATTCCGTAATTTGACCCCCTTATCATTTTAGTCCCGTAAGTGGAGTCTGTCGCAAACTAGTCCCATAAGTGAAAAAATTTTGTTATTTTTGTCCTCCGGCGCCGGAGATGCCCGCGTGGCTCGCCGGAGGCCACGTGTCCTTCAGGTCAGCGACACCTAGTGGACACGTGGATTTTATTTTATTTTTTCATTTTTTTAAAAAATTTATTTTTACTTTTAGTTGTCTTTTTTAATTTTTTTATTTGGTCTAATTAAAATAAAATAAAAATAAAATAAAATAAAAATAAAATCTACATGTCCGCCGGGTGTCGCTGACCTGGCGGGGGACACCTGACGGACACGTCGCCTCCGGCGAGCCACGCGGGCGTCTCCGGCGCCGGAGAACTAAAACAACGAAAATTTTATTAGTTTGTGTCATACTCCACTTATTGGACTAAAATAATAAGGGTGTCCCGTTACCAGACTAAAAAAAACAGTTTAGCCATATATATATTAAACACAATATATATAATCTTTTAATTATGATGCAATTCAAACTATATTATTGAATGTTCTTTGTTGTTTTTCATGAGTTGAAAAGGTCCACTTTGATTTGTATATTCGATTATGTTTGTTTCCTTTGTTGTCAGCTGTCGGGCTTAGGATATGTATTTTATCTTATTTAGCAAAGAAGAAGTCTTTGAATAAATATCTTATTTATTTAGTTAGATAGGAAAAATTGTGTTTAATAATATTAAAGATAGTATTTTGTATTGAGTTATTAGATTTTTTAAGTAGATAAAAAATATATATATATTATATATTGTATTAATACGTGTGTATATTATAATTTTTTGAAATAATATTTATGAAAAATTGCAAATCAAATATAAGTGAACAAACCTATGATTTATTTTCCAGAATTTGAATTTGAATTTCAATTTTAAGATCTTAAAATTTCATGAAATATAATTTATATTTGATTTAGGGTGCGTTTAGCCGATAGCTTTTAGCTGTTAGTTTATTCAATTAGCTGTTAGTTGATTCAATTATCGGTTTGTATTAAAGTGTTTGGTAAAACAACGATTTGACATTAGCTGTTTATATATAAAATGACTATTAAAGATATTGATATATTATTTCTTAAAATATTTAATTTTGTTTATTTTGATTTGAAATTAATGAGAATTTTTGTTATTAATTATTGAAAATTATAAAAATATTATAAAATATTTATTTTTATTTTTATTTTTATTATTTAAATCTGAAAAAATTATTTTTATTAAAAAATAATAATTTTTTATTAAAATTATGTAAAATATAAAATAATGAATCTTTCGTATATATATTTTTATTATGTTAATTATGGTTTTAATATATATAAATAAATTAATAATCTTTGTTTTTTCTATTTGATTTAGTTTTAAAATTTTATATATTTTACAAATAAAATAATATATATGTAATAATTAATATAGTAATTATTTTAAATTTACAAAAATAAAAATATAATTTAATAAATTAAATATCTTAAAAATAATTAATAAATATTTCTATAAAAATATATTTATATGTATAAAATAAATATTTAAATTTTAAAGGTAAATAAGGAATAAACCAAAATTTTCAGAAATTAGTTTTTTTTTTTTTTCCAAAAAGCTCTTTCTAAAAGCTAATTTACCAAACACCTAAATTAACTTTTTAACTGGTCAAGGAGCTAAAAGTTGTTTAATAAGCTAAAAGCTCTTAAAAAAAATATTTCTCAAACACCCTCTTAATAAAAAAATTAATAAACAGTAAAAAATAAAATTCAACTTTGTTTGAATTTAATTTCAAATTTAATTATTTGTTATGAAATGAATAAGGTGTAGTTTAAATGAGTTTTGAAACCTTATTTAATATACTTAATTAAAAATTAAATTTAAAACATGTATTAAAATATTATAAAATTTATTCAATATAAACATATTCAATAATAAAATAAATAGGATATGTCTAGATAATATTAATGTAAAATAATTTGATTGAAAAAACAATCATTTTGATGATATAAGTTCTTTCAGAATTTTAACTTTTTTAAATTTAAATAATACTTTGAAATATATTATTTTATATAAAAATTTATAAATATTTTTAAAATTTTATAATACTTATATAAGACCTTTGTTTCTTTCACAAAACATAAGTATTTTTATTTTGGGTTGTACAAATTCAAAGTAACTATTTAAAAAATATATCAATTTTTTTTATAAATATTTTTATTTTACCATTACATCATTATTTTTATATTAAAAAATAAAGTAAAATTGTCTTTACATTGTTGTTCACTTTGATAAAATACTGCTATATTATTCTTTAAATTCCACACGAAAAAGTAAATGTAAACAAATAAAATGGATGGAGGGAATAAAAAATGTAAATTAAATATAACAAAAAAATATGTGTTTATTTTGTCAATTTGTATAATTTTTTGCCAGACGAAACATCTTAACATGTTTTTAAAATAAAAATGTAACAAAAAAAAAAACAAATAAAATAAATTAAAATCTTTGAAAACATCCCGAATATATTTAGTTTTAATTTAAAATTAGAATAATAATTTAAATAAATTTTTATTTAAATATTCTCTTTCATTCAAATTTATAAGACATAAATTAATTATTTTTATATTTTTTATTTTATTATTTTTTTTCTATTGTTTTTGGAACATATTTTTTAAAAAAAAATTAATGCACTATATAAATTAATTATTTTTATATTCCTTATTTTATAAATATAATATTGTCTTTGCATTGACATTTGAAAGTTCTTAAATCCATATTTCTCGTCCTAGCCTGTTGTTCTCTTCTCAATATATATTTTACAAAACTCTGTCTATTCCTCAGAACCGCAACTCCAAGGAGCATCAACAATCGGCGGCGGCGGCGACATCTTTCTCCGGTACCAACAGCAACCGTGTGCGGCGGCGGCGACATCTTTCTCCGGTACCAACAGCAACCGTGTGCAGCGGCGGCGGCAATTTGAAGAGGTGGCTGTTCCATTTCGGATTTGCAGGAATTTCAACAATCGCATCGGTAGGTCGCTCGCTCCACCCATTATTACTTTATTACGAACAAAATTGATTACATAACTTTTGTTTATTTCTAATTTAAACTATTCTTCAGAGTTCAAACAACAGCAGTATGTTATTGTTAGTGTTACATCAAACTTAATTAATATTTACTAATAGTTTCCCTAACAATTAGGTATAGATTTAGTTTCTATCTTTAGGTGTTGCTACAATCCTCTTAACTGTTATAATGATGGATTCTGTTTTTACTGTTTGTTGTTATTATAATGATTATTGTTGTTCAATTTCAATTTTCAGCAAAATTTTAAATTAGATTTTGACAAATTAAAGGAAAGTTCAAATTTAGCTGTAGGATTTCGACAGAAAAGGGATATTAATTTAAGGTGAAGAAGACTTGGATCACAGCCATAATTGATCACTCTAAAGCTTCATCAATGGCCGAAGCACCTCAGAAGTAAGCCTGCAGCCTATCTATCTCTTTATGTTTTGGTGTGTTCCTTTTTTGTCAGATAATATATATTCCCTCCGTCCGTCTCTAATGGTTATATTTACCTTTCTTATCATTGTATTTAATATTAAAAATATCCTTGTAATTGTATAATATTTTGTTAGTATTATAAAACACTAATTGAAGTATTTTTGCAATTTTTTCTTAATTTGTACAACGTTTGAATATAATAACTAATATTTAAAGATCAACACACAAAAAGTAAACTAGACTCTTAGATCTATAATTCAAATAGTAAATTTGAGTAGAAATTGAAAACGTTTTCAACATTATTATACTTGTGTCAAAGGTATGCAGTCGTCACGGGCGCAAACAAGGGGATCGGGTTGGAGACATGTCGGCAGCTGGCATCTCGTGGCATCACAGTTGTGCTGACAGCTCGCGACAAAAACAAAGGTCGTGAAGCCGTAGAAAAGTTCGGGGCGTCAGGCCTTGTAGATCGTGTGATCTTCCATCGCCTGGATGTTACCGATAATTCAACTATTACTGCCCTAGCTGAATTCATCAAGTCCCAATTTGGAAGGCTCGACATCTTGGTACACGACACAAGCCTGTGTTTCAAATTTTTTACTATGCATTGATTAGGACATAACTAAGTTGGCGAGGATTCGGCAGGTGAACAATGCAGGGGTTCTCGGATCCGAGGTTGAGTGGGAGGCTATAGATTTTGTAAGTTCATATATTTACTGCGATATGCGCTCAGATGTTTTATACTATTCATCAGTAGTAATTTTTTTATATTTTTTTATACTATTTTCAAGATTTTTTAAACTTTTAAAACATTCGAAACTTCTTTCTACTTTTTTTTTTTTTTTTTTCTTTCAGACAGTTAAAAAGGAGCCCGATTGGAGTAAGATCGCGACCGACATCTCCTACGAGTCCACAAAAGATGCTATTCAAACGAACTACTACGGCACCAAAAGGATTACCGAAGCACTTCTTCCCTTTCTACAACTCTCAAACTCACCGAGGATCGTAAATGTATCTTCTACATTAGGAAACCTTAAGGTACAAGTAATTTCTAGCAAACTCGATCCGAGACAATGATATTACTTGATTGGTAACTAAACTTTGAGTTCATGATTATCTTTCATTTGTAGTACATACCGAGTGAGTGGGCGAGGAGGATACTCAATGACGAAGAAAATTTGACCGAGGAGCAAATAGACGGAATTGTAAACGAGTTTCTGAAAGACTCCAAGGAAGAAGAAGTTGAAGCTAAAGGGTGGCCTAAACCATTGGGTGGATACATGGTTTCGAAAGCAGCAATGAATGCCTACACAAGGCTTCTTGCTAAGCAATACCCGAGGTTTCGGATCAATTGTCTCTGCCCGGGGCTCGTGAAAACGGATATTACTCGCAATGTAGGGATGTGGACGGCTGAAGAAGGAGCAGAAATCCCGGTCATGCTCGCGACCCTGCCCGATGATGGCCCGACCGGACGCCATTTTTACCGCAACACCGTGGGGGACTTCTGAGAAATACTTGTTGCTAAACGATAGCATAAAATATAGGTATGTGCAAGAATAAAATATTTGGTCTTATAATTGTCTTAAGTAGACAGTCATGCATATGTGTATCTGTGTAAGGGTCAGCAGTTTATGTGCTTATTTGGAATATTCAATATCATGCTAACAAAAAATCAAATATTACAAGTCACGGAATGATGACCCTGCTATATATGTTTTGTCCAATTTGATTGGTCTTTGTCAGATTTAATTTGAAAAATATATATATACATGATGATTACATTATATAAATTGAATAGCACGCTAGATTATTTTTATTTTTGTTTCTATTTATTTTTTAAATCAATTTAAAAAGCTTGTAGTTTTTTTATTTTTTATTTTTTATTTTTTTTATTTTTATAATAAGTAGTACTACATAAGTTTTACTTAGTTACTAATTTACTTTTATTTTTAGTGCGACAAAATTAATATTTTTTAACGAACAGATTCAAATTGAATGTCTATAATATAAATGCTCTACAATGTTTTTTTGACTTTTTTTTTCATACTATTTGTTTAGAAAAATTTATTTAATTATATAGTAAAAATCATTTTTAGTCTCATTCAATATCATAATTATAAATTTTGGTCTCATTAAAAAAACATTACAATGTAGGCAATACAAAACATACTCGATAGACTCAAATGTAAGTAATCTAATATATGGATAAGATCAAATCTAGATATAAATCTAATATATCTAAAACTGAATATCTAAAATATCTCAACAACATTCAAATGAAAATTTATCAATTTTAGTCCCAAGATGTTTGACTGGGATTGAGCACAACCGTGTTGGCTTGAACACGGCCGTGTTGGATGACTCAGAAGGTGGCTAGACGTCCCAGGCAGCCAACACGGCCGTATTGGTCTCAACACGGCCTTGTTGATTACCCTGCACTTCTGAACACGGCCGTGTTCCTGCCCGTGTTTTGAACACAGCCATGTTCCTGCTCATGTTCTCAACACAACCATATTCTAGGTCATGTCTCAACATAAACATGTTCTAGGTCATGTCTCAACACAACTATGTTCTAAGCCATGTTCACGACCATGTTTTCAATATAATCATATTGTAGATCATATTTATTATTATTTTCATTTTTTGGTTAAAATTGTTTGATATAAATATATATTTATAATTCAACAAAAATAATTTTTACAATTATTTCATAATATAAAAAGTAATCAATTTTTAATATTTTAAAAATATATAAAAATAATAATATACTAATATATATTTTTAATAATACTCCATCCGTCCCACTTACTATGTCCACATTGCGTTTTCTGTCGGTCCCACATCCCATGTCACTTTCGTTTTTTAGAAAATAATTACACACTATTTTTTAATTTAATTATTTTTAATTTTAATTAAACTAATGAGTTACCTTAATCTTAATTTATAATTATTTAAATTATATGATAATTATTTTCACTAATACATTTTTAATTATCTACTAATTATACTTATTCTAAATTCTCGTGTCTACAGTGACTCAGACATCCAACGTGGGACGGAGAGAGTATTATTTTAAAATATTATTTTAAATAATAAATTTAATTTATAATTTATAAAAATAATTAATTTAAAATAATATTTTTAAAATTTTTACTATAAATTTTTAAAAATATATATATAATGATTATTAAAAATATACTCACTCCGTCCCAGTACAATTGACACTATTTCAATTTTTGTCTTTCCCGTAACAATTGACACATTTCTATATTTGATAAATATTATTAAATCTAAACATATTTAACAAATATAAATCAACTTAATTAACTACATAACATATAACATCATAAATGACGTAGGACCACTCAAAACCCTTTTATTTCTATATCTTTCCTCAAAAAATAAATATTTTTATCTATATTTAAAACTATATATCTTTTATAAAATTGATTTATGTTAATTATAAATAAACAAAAATATTTTTTTATTTATTTGTATTATAAAAAATTTTTAAAAAATGATATCCATATTACATATATTTTTTAATTGCTATATAATTTTTAAATATTTAAACATATATTTTGATTTTTTTAATCATATATATTAAAGTTATTTTCAAACTATAAATATTATTAATTATATAAAAAATAATATCACAACTGATTATTATTAACTAATTAAACATTTTTACCTTAAATACCGTGTCCCTAATCAAATGATTCAATTTCGGTGGAACGGAGGGAGTATATTAATACATTATTATTTTTATATATTTTTAAAATATGAAAAATTGATTATTTTTTATATTATGAAATAATTGTAAAACAATATTTTGGTTGAATTATAAATATATATATTTATATCAAATAATTTTAACCAAAAAAATAAAAATAAAAATAAAAATAATATGATTAAAACATTGAGAATATAAGTAGGAACATTACTAAAAACATGATTTAAAATATGACTGTGTTGACAACATGGACAATGACATGATTGTGTTCAGAACCGGTTAGGAATACGGCCGTGTTGAGACTAATTGGTTGGGACGGCCAATTATTTCTAAGTCATCGAACACGGCCGTGTTCAAGCCAATATGACCATGTTATACAATTGATAAATTTTGAATAGGATAAAAATTAATAATTTTTTCTTTTTTTGAATAAGATCAAAATTTATAATTATAATATTAAATGAGAAAAAAAAAAAAAATTTTTTTGCTCTTAATTATATTATAATAATTAGTTTAGTAACGAGTTCTCCGGTAAGTGGAAATGATTGAGCTGTTTTGCAATGGACTCCCAAGCTGGCGATCCAAACCCTAGATTCTTCGTCGCCGTCCACGTCGGCGCCGGATTTCATTCCCCATCGAACGAGAAGGTTCTTCGTTCTGCAATGAACCGAGCCTGTCTCGCTGCAGCTTCTGTTCTCCGCAAGGTCCTCTCCGCTTCGCGCTGGCAATCGTCAAGTCGCTTGCTTTTCTAATTTGGATGGAGATGAAATTAGTCGCATTTTTCAATTGAAATGGCTTTTTGTACAGTTATTTACTCACAATGTGTGATAATGAATATGTATGTATAATATTTGTATATATGTGCGTATCCATATAGTTGCCCGTAGCCGTTGATTTTTTATTGCAATTTTAAATGTGTTAAATTGGATAAAAAGTTGATTTTAGCTAATCTGATACATGAATATTGCATTTTGGTTTAATTAGGGCTCTGGTGGATGTATAGAGGCTGTTGGAGCTGCTATTCGAGTTTTGGAGGTATAGTCTGATTGTTGTTCCTGGCAAACACTAGTTTCACACGCACGCATCTATATTAATATTGTGATGCCTTTGATCCTCAAACCATCGATTATACGAACCAACTCGAAATTAGTACCTCATGCTCCCATATGTGTGTATGCATGTATGTGAATGTCTGCACACAACTGTAGTAACCAGCGTGCTTCAATTTGCAAGTTTTGATTGACCTTCAGTTAGGGTATATATATATATATATATATTATAGGATGATCCCTGCACAAATGCTGGGCGTGGCTCAAATTTGACGGAGGACGGTCATGTAGAATGTGATGCCAGTATTATGGATGGTAACTCTGGAGCTTTTGGTGCCGTTGGAGCAATACCAGGTACCTCAACTCAATAATCTTTGAATCTGATGAAGTTTGACATCTTTTATTTTTTCATCACATATTGTATTGTGGGCTAAACATATATTTGTCATCATTAATGATTCATATTCTTGTGAAGTTAATGGTTGCAGGTGTTAGAAATGCAATTCAGGTTGCTATCTTGATTGCCAAAGAACAGATGTTTGGATCATCACTGTTGGGTCGAATAAGTCCTATGTATGTATGCCTCGTATGTTTTTTAAGATATGGTTTCCTTTACAAGTTGAAATCACTGTCAGATTCTAATTGTGGTTTTACAGTCTGGATATCTTCCAATATATCGCTGTTATGTTGTCCCGTCTGTATTTTATCTTTGTAGCATTAAAAAGCTAAGTATGGGCTGATCTTTTCATTGGATGAATCCACCTGAAGATTTTTTACTTGTTTGTAGTTAATCTCTTACACATCCTAATTCGTGTTCATAATTGGTTGATAAATAAAATGATTGGAAACTGTTCATGACCAGTAGCTTTCTGCTCAGGTTTTTGGCTGGTGAAGGCGCCCTCAGGTGGGCGAAGTCCAAGGGTATTATTTCGGATGACAGCATTGCAGAGGCCAATGAGGTAATTCTTGATTTGTTTGCTTTTGCAAATACACTTCTACAAGAATCAATCTAAAAGTTAAAATAAATAAATAAAGAATGGGGTAACTAAAGTACAGAAGAAAATGAATGTTGATGACAGTAAAAGTTTTGCTATTCTCTGGTGTTATTGCTTCTTCAAAATTGATTTGGTGGTGCAGTGGTTGGTTATTGAGAGGACAAAAAACCAGTGGAAAAGATACAAAGCAATGCTCGATGATGCCAAATCTATGATTAATGAAGATCCCGCAGGTAGTGCCAAATCCTCAAGGACTAGCAGTATGGAGTACATCATACATTTTAGATATGCAAACTGATAGATACTTAGTTTGTTCCCTTTTTTCAAAGTTTGTTTACTTGTTGCAACTCGTTTTCTTCTTGTGATTGACTGAGATCCTTGTCTGACTAGCAGGGCCTCAATCATGTGATATTCCAGAGGTGAAAGAAGGCGCAATTCAATCATCTCCCCCAAAAATGGTAGAACGTGACCTTATAATGGATACTGTTGGAGTTATTTGTTTAGATTCAGAGGGACACATAGCATCTGGAGCCTCAAGTGGTGGTATTGCCCTCAAGGTTATACTTCTAACCGTCGCAGCTACCTCTTCAAATTACGAATTTAACTTTGTGCTGTAACACTATTTCCCATTGATTTAGATTACCAATTGATCCCTTGGACAATTCACAGTCTTGAAGCATTTACTTGCTCAAGAATTTTCCATAAATACTTTTCCGTGACTATAACATGTGCCAGGAATTTGATGTTTCACTATATTTCACTTCACACTGAAGGAACCAAACTTAAGCATAGAAGTAAGGGTTAAACAGGAAATATGGGTTCTATTTCAATTGAAGGAATTAATTGTAATCTGTTAGCATGTGCAAATCAATTGAATCCTGAAGGATGAGAGACACTGTTCAAATTTCTGAAATTCTTAGTACCCATGCAGGTAAGTGGTCGTGTGGGATTAGCAGCAATGTATGGTTCCGGTTGTTGGGCATCAAAAAAAGGGCCTTTTGGATCCCCTTTTATTGTTGGTTGCTGTGTCAGTGGTGCTGGAGAGCACCTCATGAGAGGATTTGCAGCTCGTGAATGCTGTGTGGCATCTGCCCTGTATGATCGATTTTCCCCTTCCAAATACATTTGCTTCTTTGACTTGCTATTCATTATTCGTGTAGTATCCCATCCACTTATAATTATCATTTATTTCGCAGATCCGAGGCTGGGCCTGTATCTGCTTGCATAAAAGTTCTAAGTTCTGTTCAAGAACATGATCGTGGCAGCAACAGCAGCGAGAAGAGTGCTGGAGTTTTACTTGTTCAAGCAGAGACATCTACTACTGCAGTGAGTGGATATAGACTAGCACACCCCCTACCCCCTCCCCGTCCCCGTCCCAAATTTCATATACTAATTTCTTGAGTTGCTGGAATCATCCATCAGGGCACGGATACTTCACCGAAGCTGAATGCTGCTGAAATAGTGGCAGCCTATACTTCCCCGTCTTTTGGAATAGGTTATTTTGGAAACTCTATGAAGCAGCCTAAGGTATCGATTTCTTCAATTCATCTACCTCCTATGATTCATTCCCTCATCAACATAGTAAGTACTTCAGTTGTTGTATTTGGTTATTCGATGCGCATCTTTGTATGCTTCAGGTGTCTATACTACGGAGCACAAGGCTACACGATGAAAACAGAGTCGATCAATTTGGGACACGGATTAACCTTCAGACTGAGCATTTGTAAGTGCATTCTGGAATTGTAGTTTAACATTTGATCATATAGTCAAAAGTCAATTGGTGCCAGTCAGTCAGTCTTAATTTCCATGGATTTTCTTACAAGTTAGATTAGACACAGGTGAGTGTTTGATTGTATTAATTCTTTGTCACCATTTTCTTGATTGCACATGCACACTAAAGATGAGGTCTTTATGGCCTAAAAGAAGACCAGTGGAGTGGAGGATTTGCTGCATTGCCCAATAAACTACAAACAAAAGGGGGATTTGTAATTTGTTAAGTTCTTTTTGTTGTTTTGATGTGTTTAATATAATCTAATTGTTTATGAAGATTACGGTTTCAAATGCTGATAGATGCCAATATTTAAAGGTTGGCTTTGAATTAAGTGTGTTTGTTTGTGAGGGTGGTTTTAAAAAGTGTTACTATTCTAAACAAAGGTTTCAAATCAGAAGACACCTGTTTTTATTTATTTATTATATTATATTAAAATTTAATTTTATATTCAAAATATCATATCAATATATATTTATATTCTATCAAATAATTGTTTTATTTCAAAATTTTATTGTTTAAAATGTAAACTCAAAATCTATAAACGCACTTACTTTTTATTAAATTTTTTAGTGGAAATTACTCTTTAATACTACCTCCGTTCCATAAGAGTATTATGGTTTTTTTTGCATGTTTATAATATTCTTTCCGTCCCGGTGGAAGGTTTCTGTTTATTTTTTGCACGTAAATTTTTTAATATTAGTATTATAATGGATTGTAGTGAAAAAGACGAAAATATCTTTATTAGTATTGTGTAATATAAAAGTAATGACATTTATGTAATGTAGTGTAAGTTGTAAGGTATTTATTATGTTAGTTAGATTGTACAATTATTAAATTAGAAAATTATAATATTGTTTGGAGACGGACGAAAATGGAAAATAACAATTTTTCAATGGGAATGTGGGAATATTTTAAATTTAATAAAATTAATATTGAATGCTTGATAAATATTTGATGTTAAAATAAATGCTTGATGAAACATTTTGAGTGAAAAAAAATGATTCAGAGTGATGTCTTCAAAATATTATTTTTCAAGTGCACAATGCAAAATTAAGAACAAGAATGCTTGTACAAATGCAAACCGGATGAGATGATACAAACCTGTGTACAGCCACCAAAATTTTATAGCTTTTTATTTTTTTATTAGTTTTATTTTTGTTATATAATAATAATAATATTATTATTATTATTGGTAAGTATGTATCTATATATGCGAGTGTATATATAATAATATGTCTATGTATATAATATAATATATATAGTTAAAGTAATAAAGAGAGAGTAGCGCGAGAGAAATTGTAATGCAGTAAAATGATTCTTGTGTCCATTTCCTTCATTCACATGTATAGATATATATATAGGCAACATATAGGTGAATGGGTGGATATAATGCATCCATATAAACAACACATAACATCTACGTATCCAGTACGTATTGCTTTGTAGGTGTTGCGAATTTTAACACTCTCCCTTGGATGTTTTATATAAAGACTGTGTCTCGTTGAAACCTTACTATGAAAAAATCCTGTGAGAAAAAAAATCATAGTGAAGGAAAAAGAGTACATCGTTATTGTATTAATGCGCTCCCCCTGTTTTGGACTTTATTTGATGTCTTTCAGCCGACGCATTCCAATTCCTTGTATCAATTTGTTGAATGTTGCAGTCGGTAGCGCCTTTGTGAATAAATCTGCAAAATTTTCAAACGATCGAATTTGTTGCACATTAATTTCACCACTTTTTTGAAGATCGTGAGTGAAGAAAAATTTCGAAGATATGTGCTTTGTCCGATCGCCTTTAATATACCATCCTTTTAATTGAGCTATACAAGCTGCATTATCTTCAAATAATATTATAGGAGGTAATATATCATCGGTAATCAAGCCACAATTTTTCTGAATATGGTGAGTCATGGACCTCACCAAACACAATTTTTCGGTAATATTTTTTCAAAATATTTTATAATTGATGACGATTCATATCCGACATAAATGCCCAATCTACGTTGAGAATCCATTTTTGTACGTTTGGGGGGTGGAATAGGAACATAAGTAGCACACCCAAAAATACGTAGATGAGATATATTTGAGTTCGTGACCAAATACTAACTGCATTGGAGAGTAGCTATGATAGCTTGTCGGCCTCATTCTTATGAGTGTTCCTGCGTGTAAGATTGCATGCCCCCAAGCTGAAACGGGCAACATAGACCTCATCAGTAATGGTCTAGAAATTAATTGCAATATTTTAATAAGTGATTCTGTCAGGCCATTTTGTGTATGAACATGAGCAACTGGGTGCTCCACATTAATTCCAATCGACATGCAATAATCATCAAATGCATTCGATGTATATTCACCAGCATTATCCAGACGTATAGTCTTAATTGGATTATCGGGGAATTGTGCCTGTAATTTAATAATTTGAGCAAACAATCTCGCAAATGTCATATTACGAGTAGATAATAAATAGACATGGGACCATCTCGTAGATGCATCAATAAGCACCATAAAATATTTAAATGGCCCATACGGTGGGTCTATTGGTCCACATATATCCCCGTGTATTCTTTCCAAAAATGTAGGTGCTTCAATACCTACTTTAGCTGGCAATGACCTGGTTATCAATTTTTCTAGAGTGCAGGCAACATAGGTTAACTCACTTGAGTTTAACACTTTTTGATCTTTTAATGAATGACCATGCAAATTCTCAATTATTCGCCTCAGCATTATACTGTCAGGATGCCCAAGGCGATCATGCTATATTTGAAAATCGGTAGTCTTTTGATCTACCGTGAGGTGTGTTTCAACAACACCTAGTATAACATAATATAAGCCATTAGAGAATGAGGGAAATCTCTTAATGATGCATTTCTTTTTATCAATGATATTAGTGATCAATAAAAATTCACCATCGGTATCACTCATAGTTACAATGTGATAATCATTTTCCAAATGTCATGAAAGCTCAGTAAATTTCTTCGAGCTTTAGTGGCCAACAGTGCATACTGTATCACAATTTTTGTCCACACGGGGAGAAATATAATGGCTTCTCCAGAGCCTTCAATTAATTTTACCCTGTCACTTATTGTATTGACATTCATTCTTTCCATTTTCAAATGAGAGAAATATTTTTTGTGTTTCAATATAGTATGTCTCATTACACTGTCATGAAACACATATTTGCATCATTTTGATTGGCATCCATTTAACCAAAAAAAAAAATAGACAAGAGCCTTCGTGCTGATAACGTGTTATATAATAATAATAATAATAATAATAATAATAATAATAATAATAATATAATATTATTATTGGTAAGGATGTATCTATATATGCGAGTGTATATATAATAATATATCTATGTATATAATATAATATATATAGTTAAAGTAATAAAGAGAGAGTAGTGCGAGAGAAATTGTAATGCAGTAAAATGATTCTTGTGTCAATTTCCTTCATTCATATGTATAGATATATATATAGGCAACATATAGGTGAATGGGTGGATATAATGCATCCATATAAACAACATATAATATTTACGTATCCAGTACGTATTGCCTTGTAGGTGTTGCGAATTTTAACAAATTTTCGTTTTTTATTATATATTTTTCATTTTCTTGTAATATATCTTTAACACACACACATATATATATATGACTATTGGTAATGACTACATGTTATTACGTAAGTGTCCTTAATAGTATACATTTGTTATTTTGATTAGTTATACGAAGTGGTAATATTGTAGACAACTATGACTAAATTTGTCAATTAACCTCCGCATTGTCAGTTATATTGAGGATATTGGGTGTTATTCAGAGTTGTATTTTTTCAATATCATTTGTTATTTTTTAGTGATTTACTTGTACAAAATATATTGATATGAATATCATTTTGTAGATCGTAATATTTTCTAATACAATAACTTAGTTACAATATTATAATACTATGATATATATAGAAATGCATTTCAAACCAATGGAGGGGAGTGGTAACCGACCAATTCTGTCAACCACTTCATTTTTGTTTCAAAATATCTATATTTATATGGGGCACTTGGATTTAAATACCTCTGAGTTAAAATACATTTAGATTGAGTCACTTCTCATTATCAAAGAGCATTGCACCCCACTACCAATTTTACCCCTGAAATTACAGTATAATATAAAAAATGACGTATGTACTCTCGTTTTTTTTATATAAACCTAAGTTATTTAATTACATACCTCAATATTATCCCGTTGTACAAAAAAATGTTAGAGTAATGTGCCTAAAATTTGTATTTATATACTGAAATTAGTTACAGAAATTTAAATCCAAAAATAAAATAAAATAATAATAAAACCCACCATCCCACGTTGTTGATTGATTTATTTCTTCAAAACACTTCTCCTCCCACTCTACCTTTCGCTACCGAAGCACCCGATGAAATAATTTCCGCCGAGCCTCCCCGAAGAAATCTTCGCTGTCGCCGGAAGTCTCCCCTTACTTCCAGAGCTCTGATCCCGTTCAAAATGTCGAAAAAGACTACATCCCCAAAGCAACATTCGAAAAAGTAAGTTAAAGTTTATATTGTTACATAATTGATTTTTTTAATTTCTGATGTGCTCGAATCTATTTTATGTGTGCCTCGGCTGGGTTTGTACAAGTCTCGGTGGCAGATCATTTTACTTTGCTATGTATCGCACCATCAGGTCGATTATGAGTTATTTTGATGTATTTAAAATTGTAAATAATCTTGGTGTCTATAGAAGTGTCTTAATTTGTATTTTATTGGTTTATATTTGTAATAAAATGATTGAAATACGAGGGAGAGTAGGAAGATGGCGGAAAGACAAGAATAAGAAGGATAAACAAAAAATTAAGATTAGTAAAACATTTATACGTAACTTTGTTTTTCTTTGTATGTACTTTCGTTATTCTGTAAAATTCATTACTTTTGCTCACTAAAGTATGTTTATCCTTTCTACATATACTTTCGTTCTAATTGAAAATATTATATAAATAAGATTATATGACTAGGTATACAATATTATGTGTTTCGATTAGCATATTGTGTAACTGTTGTTTGATGATGGTGAAATATGAGATGAACAGATTGTTACGATGACATCACAACGACATGCAATTTTTTTGCAAATTTCAATATACGACATGTGCTAGCATTATATATATATATAGTTTTCGAAAATGTCAAATACTTTAACAGATTGTCAATTATAGGGCTACTGTATGAAACAATGGATTTATATACATAATGTCTGAAGCAGTGATGAACTTGTTATTAGATGATGCTATCCGTGGTGAGATTGACGATGCTATCGATGATGTCAAGGCTTATAGGGTAA